ACAGATTTGAAATAAGCAGTTCCCACTTCATGACATGCTTACTTGAACATGTAATGTTAATGTGACACATGAGATTATTCAAGTAAATATAATGGTTTTATATAAAAAGTTACACATTCAAATGTGTGTCACTTTCTGAACAATTCTCATGGGTTCTGTAGACAAAATGGACCTTTCATACTTGTACGCAAGTGATTTTTTTTTTTCTTAATGGAATATAAACCTTCTAGATACCTGGCCCTAATCTTTCACTCTCTTAAAAAGAATCAGTTTATGTAGAAGGTTAGCAGTGATGCAACTGACCGTATAGCAAGACTGAATCCCCACTTGCATCTTGTCTATAATATGTTCAGCCACCAGTGTCACTGATGGTATCTGATATGTTCCTCAATCCTTGTTAGTGTTTAAACTATTTTAATGGATTAAAAAAACAACAACTTTGTTTATGGGTGCAATTAGTTTCCCCTGAACAATGAATAATGTCTCTAAATTCCAAGCAGAACTTTTTAAAAGCATTACCCTACAAACAAGGATTCTGTGGGATCCTAAATCTGTAGATGCTGTTGAGACAGCACATACTACTCTCTGTTGTGGTGAGGCTCCAAACTGATCTAATTTGAGTTTGATTCACCCTTATTGTCATTTACGGTTAATGCAGTACCCCCTGAAGTCCCTCATTCTGTGGAGTTTGGGTAAAGCATACAGTAGAGGAATTGAGAGGATGTAACACATTTCTCAAGCTCATGGGGAAAGCAGCATGAATGAGTTTTGGAAATGTCACTAGAGGGCAGGTAAGCAGATCATCACCTGCTGCTGACTTAATTTGCTTTTCACTAAGAGATTAAGGTAGTGATGAAGCCCCATGCTGCTTGTGGTGCCTCTAAAAAAAATAAACTTTTGGAGTCTGCCAAGGTTCCGGTTTCTGGGGATGCTGTTCTGGCTAGCCATCTTAGTCCTTCGTTATCATTTAATTCAAGCACTGTCATTCCATTTAAATGGTGCTTTAGCTGTTTTCATGGTATTTTTCTGACAGTAGAACTGTCTGAACTCTTGTGAATTGCAGACTGAATCAGCTCTGAACATTCTGTTCCTGCGTGTTTTCAGACAGCATCTGCAGATTTCAGACTCCAACAAGCAGCAAGTGTGGAGTTTGTCATCAGCCACATTTTTCATTCTATGCAGTAGTGAATCTGGCCCTTGGACTGCCACATGCTTATATCAATTGCACAAATTTGGTCTGCTATGTCTCTGTAAGTGTCCAAAATGTCAAGCTGAGGCGCTAGCATAATAGGAGAATAGCACCAAAAAAAGTGTATAGGTTAAGTAGGGTTTGGTGTACTTTACATTTCAAGAAACAGTAAATTGTAGTGGACTCTCTTTAGTCTGCTAGAGAGAGAGATTGTGGAAGAACTTTGTTGCTGGCAAAATCAATTCAGTTAGTTTCACTGGTGAGAATGCAATAACTCCTGGTGTGGCCAGGCTTCTATCAGTGTTTTAAGTTCTGTGTCAGTTGAACCCCCTTACCAATCAACTTAATCAAGAAGGTACCCTAAACACCAGCAGTCTGTCCGCACAAAAGTTCCCAATGTTGATTCTGTCCATGGAACTTGAACTAGCCTTAACAAATATGGGAAGTTTGATGCCCAGTTTGGAAGGTTTACACAAAGTTAGTGTGTTGGAATCACACATCACACAGCCACTTTGCATAAGGTTTGCCAGCCTTAATACAGCAACTCTACCCAAGTAGCAGGGTTCATCGGGACTTATGCTGTTTTGGGGGTCCTTACGAATTTTGTTTGGGCTGTTACATTCTTAAATGTTTAATTAAAAATCAGATTCCTGGAAGTAGGTCAGAGAAAGAAGTGTGTGTGTTTTTTATGTTGTTGATCCAGCTATCCTCTCACTGCGCCTTCTGTTTTTAGGCTTTGAACAAGCTTCTCTTTTATCATTGAAGTCCAGGTACAAATTAGAGAGTCCTGCAAAACCAAAGATACTACTTAGGCACCGCCTAAAGAACAGTTGAGAATATTTTAGGATGTGGACAGGCTTGTTTAATGGGTCTTCAGTTGTATATGACTCATTTGGAAAAGTACCCTATAATCCTCTGTTCTGTGGCAGAACTGAGATCTAAAGTTAGTCTTTAACACCAGGCTATTCTCTAGCTGTGGGCAAATTATTTAACCAGAAAGAGTATATTTTTGTCCCTGTGATCTCTAATTCTCCTGTGCATTTGTCAATGAGAAATGTTTTACTGTCATTTTAGAGAGAAGTTTGAACAGAAAAAGAAATCAGTTTAATCCCAAGAGAGAAATACAGTATGCCCAGTGAATCTCACTGACTTCTGCCTTTCATGTTTGGCTACCTTTATAGGGAATGTGTGTGGTGGTTGTCCTAGTAAATAATATATGAAAAAGAAAAACGTGTAGCTCCTGTTTGTGGCCTCCAAGGTGACACCAATGCCAGTATCTCATGCAGTATAGCACCAAAAGTCACATCTATGTTCTTGATAAGAAAGAGTTCATATAAATATAGTTTCTTATTCAAATTGGCTCTTTTTCCCCCTTAGGAACACTTTTGCATCTCTGATCTAGTCTATAATGTACAAATGTACGCTGCCGCCTTTCCATTTTCCCATCTTCCAGGCTAATAGCAAGGCTAAAGTTTCTTTTCTCTGTGCAACCTTGGTTGATAAATATTTACTGTGTCCTTTTAACTTTTTCTGGATAGCACAGCCCAGGGGAAATGAGCAGCTTTGGCTGGTGCAGCCTATTTGGGGATGCACAAAAAAACACAGCTGGGAGACAGAGCCGTTTCAAGACTAGCATTGAGGTGCAGTGATGGATTCAAGGGCATGTGCTCAGTCCTCTCACAGTTGCTAAAAAACTTACTAACCTTCCATTTAAAAAAAAAAACAACCTAAAGGTAGGTGAGCAGAAGGAGATGCAGCATTGGTAAGAAACAGGGTGAGATTTTGGAAGACTGGTGAGCAGATTTTGTGGTGTGCTGCTTTGCAGGAGTGAAAGCGCTAGTTCCTGCATGCCAAGAGGTGTGTGTGTGTGTGTGTGTGTGTGTGGTTGCACACTGTCATACACTGTGTGTGTGCCTGTGAGATGCAGTGTGTATGGCTGTCACTCATACAGTGTGTGTGTGGGGGGGTTACCCTCAGACACTGTGTGTGTAGCTGTCACTACTGAGTAGCTAAGATGCATGCTGCCACATTCTCTGTGCGTGTGCCTGTAAGACTCGCGCTGTGTGTCCGAGTGTGGACCCCCCCCACACACACACACAATGTAGCTGTGTCACTGCCACACTGAGTGGCTGAGATGCACGCTTTCACGCCTGTGTTTGTGTGTCTGAGCTGCACTGTGTGGCTCACGCCCGTGTGTGTCCTTTCGCGCACACGCGGGCAGGCTTCCTGGCCCCGAGCAGCGGTCTGTGGGGGGAGGCGTGCCGTGGAGGGGGGGCTGCTCTCTTCTCCGCTGCGGTCTCCGGTTCCCCTTGATCTGCGCCGGCGCCGCTGCCATTGGCTGCCGGGCGCTGACGTGCGGGGACTGCAGTTGTCCCGTGGAGCCGCGCCGGCTCCGCTCCCGGCTCTTTAAAGGGCCCCGGATCCGGGGCAGCCGCGGAGCCGCCGCAGGAGCCCGATGACCCCGGGCAGCCGCGGGCCCTGAGCCGGCTCGGACCGGGCGGCACCGGGCATCGCACGTGAGTCCGCGCCGCGGGCAGGCGGGGAGCCCAGGGGGCAGGGGCGGGGGCATCT